TCTCGGAGGTTAAGGATCAAAATGAGGGATGCCTTTTCGGTTTCTCAATCAAGTGATAGGTTCCCTAGTCGAATACTGCGTTGCTGACGAGTAATCTGGTTTCCTAACGGTACTTGTGATGATCTTATATCCCCTGGTTTTCTAGAGAAAGGCGAATCGAGCTTTGGTTGAAACCAGTTCTTCAAAGAAACACCATTGATTCTTAGTTTTGAATCTTTTCTATGATAAGGTATTCCCAATCTTCTCAACAACGCAGCAATGTCCAGCCCGACCCTGTCAAACAAAAGCGACGATGATCTTAGAAGCATATGACTTTGAATATATAATTTAACAATAAACATCATCACTGTATACTAAAAAAACAAAGATAGGATACTCTCAATTTCACCTTCCAGCAAGGTCAATTGTCTTCTCTCCTCCAGGAGTTGTAATTTCCTTCTCTTCCATGGTAATGTTCAAATTAACATGAGGTATCTTCGCGCCTGAAACATATATGGGCTTAAAAGTCAAGAGATTTTACTAGTCATTGCAAAATTCAATCAACCGGTTAGATTCGTGTTTTGATAGTCGGTATATATCTCAATGTCGATGATCTGATGGTGAATATCCAAAATAAGAAATGCCAAATTACCGGTCTATACCTCCATTACCAATTTAATGGAAACAGGGAAAGTAAAGATGATAAACTTAAAGTTAGATCAGAGATGTTTAGTAAAGATCGTACAACTAGATTTTGCCTAGTTTAAAAGCTAATGAGTTCAGAGAAGAGATTATTTTACCAGCTGCAATGCGATGCTTAAGACCTTTAAAGATGGTTAAGAGGTAAACCTGCCAGATTGATCATGACATAGTTAAATCAGTGAGAAGCACAAAAGTGCTAAAACGAAGAGATATTGATTTATGTTTTTTTCTCAAACACAGTTGAGATACAGTATAAACAAGTCATGCTCACTGGAAATTTAAAGCAAATTTTATGTAGGAAGAAAAAGAAGAGACCACAAAGAAAGGGATCCCGCTGGAAGTTTACCTCAGCTACGTTTTTCGGCAGTTCTGTCGTGTCAAAAGATATTGGAATTTTATTGAAAGACACAGAAGGAAGAACTCCAAGAGAAGTAGCCTCCTGCAAAACATGAAACATTTAAACTCTGTACACCGAATGAGACCTAGAAGAACTTATGCTACCAACATACCTCAAGCAGTGAAAATGCACGAGGATCATACTCTCCAAATCCATCAACTAGGGGGATTATGTTATGTTGTTTTTGTGAAGAGATGTTTATGCCTAAATTTGAAACCAGCCTATCCCGCAAAGCAGCATCATTTGGAAGTTGCAAGCATCCCAAAACTTGTGAAACTACTTCTGTAGTAGGAACGGTCCCACCTAAAATTGTCTCACGGTAAACCATTAAGGCCATTGATGTCCTGAGAGAAAGGGAATTTATCAGTATTAACTTGGAAGTGGTTTCTGATCCAAGCATCTAACGAAAAAGAGAGCTATTAAATCAACTTTTTTAGATCTGAGATAGCTCTTCTGCATCATCCCCAGTAACAACAATGTCATCAACATGAACAAATACAACAAATTTACTGAAATCTCAATCAAGATTGCTTTAACTAGACAGCATCACAAGATTTTCTCGAGCTTTTCAAACATTAAGAAGAAGAGTGATTAACTTAAGACTTGAAAACAGAAGCTATACCGACCATTTATTTTCAATCTGAGGTCGCCCTGATTTGAAAGACACAACAGGTTCACCAGCAGCGCAAGCCTTCTCGAACCTTCGCTTGCACAGGCCTTTANAAAATACCCAAAAAAATGAAGCATAAGTGCTACATTAAAATAAACGTTCTCATGTCCGATTGGGTCATATGAGACATCTAAAGAACTATGTAATTCTGCAGGCCTGAAAGAATGAGGAAAGACAAATCCAGCTCTGTTCTGGAAGATTCATAAAGATGATTATTTCCCTTTTATTTTCCTTTCACTTAATTGGTTGGGGTTGTTTGGCAATAATTTGGTTGAAGATCACATGGAAGAACTCTAATTATATGAGATTGAAGTGGATTTAGTTGAACGGTTTCAAATAACATCTCTTCGACAGTTGAAAAGTTTCCTACTTCAGTGCAACTCAGCAAGATAAAATTGAGATGAATACAATATATGAGCTTACTGGTTAAGCATCTGCACATGATGAAGTTTGGTGATATTCCATCCTCTTTTGCTCGAGAAAGGAGCTTGAAACTTACCTCAAAGTCATCCTTTCTACACATAGAAAAGTCAGGAATTAATGAATTATTAAATCTGCACTAACTACTCAAATGAGCCTAAATAATTCAACTTAAAAGAAGATACCTTTCACTTGCCAGCATGAGCATAGAGTATGTGATAGTGTTTGGTGTTAATCCCAAAGTCTTTATCTCATTGAGAAATTCCATAGCCATGGGCAGTTGACCACCTTCACCTGTTGATAATCTTAGGAGTCATACTAGTAATGATATGTTGTATGGGATACTTCATATACTATATCATATTTGTTTGTTATTTAGGGGAAAAGATTAAAATAACATATGTATGAGGTTTTTCTTACACAAGGCAGTTATAAGGGCATTCATTGTTGAAACTGTTGGTCTAAGTCTGATTGACCTGATCTTTTCATAGAGCTCCAGTGCTTTCTTCCAATTCTTCGCCTAAATCAAAAGGAAAAATTTGTCAGTAGTTTCTCCAGAAAAGTTTAATTCAAGAAAGGCAATGAAAACTTCATCTCAGAAACTAGTTTCACCAAATAAGGATCATTTGATGCTTCAAATTCACCTCTAGAAACCACTGTGAAAATCTAGACCAAATTTTTGTTTCTCCTCAAGGGATCCATCACGTAGATTTCAATCATCAGAAGTAGACAACTCAAAACTTAAGAAATATTCAAGGCATCAATAAAACTTTTGCTACAGCAATAGAAGGCACATACATTACAACAAGCTCCCATCAGTGAGCTATATGATATAGTTCCCAGACGTATTCCTTGCGATTTCGCATCCTGAAGAATGCCAAAAGCTTCGTCTAACATTTTTGCATGTCCTGCAACATCGATCAATGCACTGAAAAACACCTGCAGATGGTCAAAACGAATGTTGCATACATAAGCAAGATGACCTTAGAAGCCACTTCTGAATAAATTCGCTTAATTAAAACAGTTGCCTCATATCAGTCGCTTTCATCAGTTACGGCAGGTGTATGTCTTACACTAAAAAATATTTTTTGTTGGAACTAGTAAGCATAGAGTTAACGACACGTTCATGCCTCATAGAGATCTGCAACTTCAAGCAGGATATAGAATTCAGAACAGACATACCTCATCAGGGGTCACACCTTTTTCTTTCATGTCATTGTATATGCTACATGCAAAATCCCAGTCCCCAGACTTGCTGCAACTATTCACAGCAATGGTATAGACTTCTGGAGTACCCTTTATTCCATATTTATGGATCATCTTGTAAACTTCTTTAGCTCGTTCGACCTGCAATAAACTTATTCTCAACCAAAGAGAAAGAGAACAACAGGAAAAGGAACAGAAAGAAAAAAACCACACACCTGACCAGCATTGAAACATGCCTTCATTAATGCACCGATCGTGATATGATCAGGGTCTATAGGGTGCGTCTCAGCCTTCATTTCAGCTAACACATCAAAAGCACGGTCAACAGCTCCTGATTGACCACATGCAGAGATGAGGGCATTGAATACAACCCGGTCTGGCTTAACATTCTACTGCATCGAACATGTCATTAATATAATAATAGCCTTGCGATTCCAAAACAAAAATAAAGATAACACATTATGTTTCCGTGAAGAAAGAGGATCATATTTGCAATCTCGACACATGGTAGGATGGCATACAAACTCATGGAAGGCTTACCTTAGACCTTAAAATTCCATAAGCACCAAATGCCTTGGCTACTTGTCCAGCTCTAGCACAGCCATCAATAAGTGCACCGAATGTGTGAAGATTGGGTTCCACTCCAGAATTCGTCATCTGGTGGAACACCTGAGAATATAACCACAGAGATATATAAAGAAGTTCAGAACACATTTCACCACTTAAGAGGCCTATTCAGGTCACACAGTATAATATTATGATCCATAATCAAGATCCAAGACACCAACTCAGGATGGAGTATGAACTATATTTCAAATTGCTTACTAAAAACAAATATAAGTACATAGCACAAAAAATATCCACTAAGAAAAGAGGGGACAGCCTTACCATTGTGGATAACAAAATACCAAACATGGGAGGATAAAATCTTGGAGAATAATTATGATTTGACTTTCAACTTTGATTAATATGTACTCAGTAGCATGAGTAGAAAAATCCAACGAAATATTACGGTTATTAGTACTAACCTGGTTCAGTATTGTGCCAAATACTCATCTATTAGTTGTACTAATAATTTTGATTTTAATTGCAGTCAGAATATGAAACTAGACTAGAGTCCAGAGAGAGAAAGAGAATGAGAGCTATGGAGCTTAATTGCACTCACAACTTGAAACTTGACTAGACAACAGATACGAAGACCAAGAATAACATACCCCACCATTCAGACAAGCATTATACTAATATAAATGATGTGCCCCAGAAGCCTATCATGCTTCATAATGCTAATAGAGATTCCAAAGAAGCAGCCAAATACTGTATCTTTGTCCACATACCTCGAACATTGCATCAACTTTCCCACTTTTAGCACAACTTGATATTAAAGTTGTGTAAAGTTTGCAATCAGCCATCATACCGTTCTCTTGCACCAGATGCAAAACTCCCCGAGCTCCTACGTAAGTAACAGTTCAAAATCTAGAAGAAATACAATTAACAAGACCAAAAATTTAGTATAGGTGAAATATGTCACCTTCTATGTCCTGGGAGCTTGCACAGACAGACATTAACATATTGAATGTGCTCAAGGTTGGGTTTGGAATCAACTTGGTAAATCGAAATGCTTCCTTGACAGCCCTTTGCTTCTTACAGATTTTAAAGAAGCTTGCATGATAAATCTGATGTGAAGAAATAGGAAAAAGAAGATCACTGATGAAGTTTCACTATTCAAGGGAATGCAATACTATAAAAATCCATCCATATTGCTCAGGAAAGTAGCCATACCTTGTCCATGTCCAATAGATCCTTTTTCTCCCAATCTTCAAGTAAGCTTATGCAATCCTTTAGCCTATTATAAATGGATATTATACTCTCAAAGCCAAAAAAATCTGGCAACTTTTCTTGGTACTAAAACTTTTCAAACCAGAAAATATTTATTACCTCCCATCTCTAAGTAAACGGTAATAAGCATCACTAGTTTCTGGAGAGCGTCCATTACTATTAAGTAGCTGAGCTGGGAACTGAGGCATGCTTTCATCAGTTTGGTGAACCACATGCTTGCCATCATCTGCAAATTTCCAGTCTCTTATCACATCTTTCTTTGTGTGGGTTAAACCACCGTTGCCATTACCGTGTGTCACAAGTTTTTCTTCTTCAACACCTGCAACGGAAAGTAACTTTGAAGAATCATTGTAATGGATCGGCACTGCAAGCTTGTCAGAAAGGAAACATGAGATTGTGTCAAATCTAACACAGCAAGTACCACATTGTCAACGTACCAGTAGCCTGACCAGAAGTATGTCCTGAGAACCGAGTATCAACTATTCCATTGTTCTTGAGGTCCAACAATAAAGTTTCAGTTGCAGAAGAAGTAACAGTAGAAGAGACTGCTTTAATACTGGTCAGCCTTGAAGACTTGGCTGATGAATGATTAGACCCATAAAATGTGTGAATCTCTTCTCTCTTAGTCTCCGTAAAGATGCTGTATTCAATAGGCTTCTGGAGCAAACCATTATACTCATACTCTAGAGCACGTGTATCATCTACCACATGTGGAGAAGCAATCGAATGAATCCCCACCACTGCCTGCGAAAAATCATACTCCATACCCTTTTGCTCTTCGCTATTTTCAACTTCTTTTTCAGGTGTTTTTGCTACCAACGTAGCTGATTCCAAAGCAACAGACCCATTACTCATAGAAGATGAAAAGGATTCATCTACAAAACTATGTTCATTGGCAATTGTGCTGACACTAGCAACAGCAAACTGAGATTCCTCAGCTTCATACTCCATCACAACAGTTTCCTGGATTTGATGAGACTCCGACTTGTTCGCAGTTTCTTCCTCCTTTTTGAAACCTCCATTAATCCCCACATGAATATCTTCAGCTTCTAAATGTTGACTTTCCCGCCGATTCTCAACACTGACTTTTCCACCATGAAGCGTTGCAGGAGATGCTGCAACCTGCACAGTTTCGCTAGTCAGAATCCCAATCGAATTTCATAACCAATCAGCAACTCGAATTTTATTTTTTGAATTCCCCAGTTTCTCCATTACACATGAATGTCACTCAAAATCAGTAACTAACGCTCATAGCCTCTCAAATCATGTGCTATAACTACACAAACAAGAATCTACCCAAAAAAAAATGAAACCCAGAATAAGTAACTCAGAAATTCCAATTACCTCATCGGAAATTTTCCTTTTCCTGAAAGTTTGTTGATAGTAAGCGAAAGCAATAGCGGAAAAAGCAGTAACAGCGACAACAACAAGGATCAAACCAGAATCGATAGAAGCTTTAACGACTAAACGAGGCGATCGAATCGAAGAACGGCGAGAATTCCGTTTTCCGGCGCGCGTTCGAAGATGAGGAGGAGGACGGAGACTGTGACAACAGCCGAGAAAATCATAACGAATTGACCGGAGAGTAGAAGCCGGAAGAATCACCGGAGAGTATGAAGTTAAAGTAAGATATTTCGACGACCTAGTGGTGGAGATGAAGGTGGAGGTAATCTCCATTGGAAGAGGAAAGGAAACGAAACGATGAGAGGATAAAGCAGAAGAGAAGAGTGAGGATATGAAATAACGAACGACTTCGCTTTGGATTGTGGACCATTTTTGCTTACGTGGCGTAAACGGCCGTCAATTCGTCGACGTTTTTTTTTCCCCCAATTTTTTAATCCAAAACAAAACAAAAAAGAATGATCACTTTTTTTGTTGGGCCTAGGTCGGGTCCGGGTCAGTTTATCGGGTCTGGATCCGGGTTAGAAGTCGGGTTTTTTCGTGTAGGTTGGTTTCAATTTCGAGGGAAAATCTAGAATTTTGATCTTGACGAATCGCCATGGCTGCTCATGGAGACGGATTCTCAGAAGTTTCAATGGAAGATTTGATGGGTCAGGTAGAGAATCGGCAGATTTCGACCATCGTCTTCATCATCGGTACTGTATTCTCTCCTTGGTTTGAAGTTGCTTCTAATGTGAGATTGTTTCTGATTGATGTGTATTCGTTAGCTATGCAAAAGGAAGCTCAGCCTCTGATCAACAGACTCCGCCTCGTTAAAGACGTTAATTCGCCGTGAGTATCTTGTTACTGTTTTCCATTTTCCGATTTTGTTTACTTTGGGAATTGGAAAATAAAAATTGAAACTTTTTTTTGTAGGTTTCCAAAAGAAGTGACTTGGGTTCTGTTTAATGGAATGTATAAAGACTTGAACATCAGTATAGTGTGTCCAGGAAAAGATTCAACTCTTGGTATGTATGTATATCCATGTGGTTACTTGAATTCTTACATGAGTCAGTGTTTTAGGAGTTCTTGATACTGTTTCTGATGGTCTCTGTTACTAAATCTGAATGTCTGGCTTGTTCTTTACAGGGGTTGATAGCGTAGGCACGGTTCCTGCATCGCTCGTGACTTATGCTTCCATTCAAGCGATGAAGCCCGACTTAATCATTAATGCGGGAACCGCTGGTGGGTTTAAGGTAATAGACATTACAAATTGCATTCTCTGAATAGTTGTCTCATTCCTCATTGGTGTCAGAAAGAATAAATACCATCCTCAATGGTCCTTTTCAGGCCAAAGGAGCAAGTATCGCCGATGTTTATATTGTCTCCAGTGCTGCTTTCCATGACAGAAGAATACCTGTTCCTGTGAGTGCTCTTATGTATCAGTCTTTTAAATATTCAGGTCATGTATCACTATTAGTTGCAAAGTAAAAGTGCTGTTCTTGAGGGAAATTCTTGCTTTCTCATATCAAATGTTTTCAAATCGCCTTTCCCTGAACAATTTCTCTGTTATTTCTTCAGGGCCTTGATCTATATGGTGTTGGTATGCGGAAAGCCTTCCCTACACCCAATCTTATAAAGGAGCTGAACTTAAAGGTGTATACTTCATGAGTTGCTCCGAGTTCACCATTCAGTCCTCATGCAAATTTTTGTTTATTATTATTTCTTGATTTGTTTTGCATACACACAAGTTTCGTAATTGGTGTATTCAAGCTTTGGTCATGATGTTCGTAGGTAGGAAGATTATCCACTGGCGATTCTATGGATATGCCTCCACATGACAAAGATTCCATCACTGCAAATGATGCTACAGTTAAAGACATGGAGGTAACAACAATCCACAAGTTTCCTATGGTTACGAACTTGGCTCCAATCTTATATGTTTCCCGTTGTTTCGTAATCAGTTACTACTGCTTATTCTCGGTATCTTGTTGGAATTTCAGGGAGCAGCAGTTGTCTATGTGGCTGATATTTTTAAGGTTCCTACGATTTTGTTAAAAGGAGTGACTGATATAGTTGATGGAAATAGACCAACTTCAGAAGAATTTTTGGAGAACTTAGCTGCAGTCACTGCCAAACTTGATGAGTCAGTTACCAAAGTGATTGACTTCATCAATGGGAAATGTCTCTCAGACCTCTGACAAGTCATACATTCTAACCTGATAGCTTTTCTATATTCAAAACCCGTAAGTTTCATCGATAACTGGACGAAGAAGGGATATAAAGATTCAAGCAAAGGATATAGGCAAATTAAGTAATAGGTTGGTGAAGAAATATCATTTTAACTCCACTTTCCTACGTATATTGTTCTCTTATTTCCTGATCTTTCATCATATTTGTAGCTCCAAATTTTGATACCCAACAACATTCATCAGAAATTTTATTTTCTGAATTATTGATGAGAAAACAAAAATTGTCATGAGGCTGATATTGATGTTATTGTTAATCATTCTTGAGAGACCAAGAAGCTTTAGCTAGTTTCTTTGTTCATTCTTTTAAGTGTAAAAAATTTACAGAACTACTGTCAAAAACCTTGAGTTGGCCATGAACAAATACATTTAGGCCCAAAGATTGTGTGTCAAGAGAATTCTCAAAGAATTGGAGTTGGGTTTTAGAAAGAGCAAATGCAATAAACATGAAGCTCCTGAATCTCACACCTAATCTTCACCCAAACATCAACTAGACAGAAACACAGCACAAGATGCAAGTCATATACTGCAAAGCTACAATGTATATATATGCCTTCACTTTAACTTTTTTTTTAAAGACCCAAGATTGGACTTTGACAAGAGAAAATTAGATAGAAAATGGGAAGCATCGATGCTGCAGAGTTGGGTTCAGAGAAGAAATCAAACCCGGGAAAAGCGACAATTCTTGCATTCGGAAAAGCCTTTCCTCACCAGCTAGTGATGCAAGAGTACTTAGTCGATGGATACTTCAAAACCACCAATTGTGATGACCCTGAACTCAAACAGAAGCTTACTCGTCTCAGTAATGTCTTCACTTTGACCGTGTTTATCTCATTTTGTAAGTTTCTGAGGATTGAGAGATTGTTTGATTGTTTCGTCTACTATACAGGCAAGACAACGACGGTGAAGACGAGGTATGTTGTGATGTCGGAAGAGATACTCAGAAAGTATCCAGAACTAGCCATTGAAGGAGGATCCACAGTGACACAGCGTCTTGACATCTGCAACAACGCTGTAACTGAAATGGCAGTGGAAGCATCCAGAGCCTGCATCAAGAACTGGGGCCGTTCTATTTCCGACATAACTCACCTTGTCTATGTCTCTTCAAGCGAAGCTCGTCTTCCTGGTGGCGACTTGTACTTAGCCAAAGGCCTTGGACTCAGTCCCGAGACACACCGTGTTCTGCTCTACTTCATCGGTTGTTCTGGTGGCGTTGCGGGTCTCCGTGTAGCCAAAGACATAGCCGAGAACAATCCAGGAAGTAGAGTTTTGCTTGCCACTTCTGAAACGACCATCATTGGGTTCAAACCCCCGAGTGTGGATAGACCATATGATCTTGTCGGGGTTGCGTTGTTTGGTGATGGAGCTGGAGCTATGATCATTGGATCCGATCCAGACCCGATTTCCGAGAAGCCTCTCTTTGAGCTTCACACTGCAATTCAAAATTTCCTACCAGGTAAATATCACATGGTTTCTGCATTCAATTATGTCTTATAACTTGGACGATATTTTTGGCTAGACTTGGATATCATTTTCATGGCGCAGACACGGAGAAGACGATAGATGGAAGGCTAACGGAACAAGGGATAAACTTCAAGCTATCGAGAGAGCTTCCACAGATAATAGAAGACAATGTGGAGGGTTTCTGCAAGAAGCTAATAGGAAAGGCAGGACTGGCTCAAAAAGACTATAACCAGATGTTCTGGGCAGTTCATCCAGGTGGACCAGCCATCTTGAACCGAATGGAGAAGCGGCTAAACCTGTCACCTGAGAAGTTAAGTCCAAGCAGAAGAGCTCTCATGGACTATGGCAATGCGAGTAGTAACTCAATCGTTTATGTGTTGGAGTACATGTTGGAAGAGAGCCGGAAAGCGAAGAACACAAACGAAGGTGAAGACGAGTGGGGTCTGATTCTGGCTTTTGGACCTGGTGTTACATTTGAAGGCATCGTTGCTCGAAACCTTGACGTCTGAATAAAAAGTGAAGAGTAATAGGGACTTCGTTTTTTACCTTGGAACTCAAGAAAGAATCCCCTTTTGCTCTATAGACATTTCA